GGATGTCGGAGGAGCACGAGATGGACAAGACGATCAAGGTAAGCAGGAGCCGCCGGGCACTGCTCACCGCCGAGGCAGAGAGGCAGCGCGGACAGAGCCTGGGGCACGGCGGGACCGGGATGGAGGACGCCGCTAAGAGCATCAGATCCCACCGTTAACCTGTCACTGCTGTAACCCCTAAAGCAGATCCTCCAGTGCCACATCCACACACCTCTTAAACACCTTCAGGGGCGGTGACTCCACCGCCTGCCTGGGCAGTTCCAGTCCGTGACCACCCGAGCAGTGGTGCCTCGCTGACCCCCAAGGGGCTTGGCTGCCCTCGGGCAAGGAGAAGGAGCCGCAGGCAGCGGCTCCCGCGCGGGGGGTGGAGGTGCTGAGGCTGCTCTGGGCGGTGGGAAACTCATTCCACAGCACTCCCGGGCTCAGAGGCAGTGCTGGTGCTTCCATCCCTCCCCGAGCTCCTGTGCGGATGTTATCGTGAAAACAGCTCTCTCTGTGTGATGTTTGTGTTTGGAGAGGAGCTGAGTAGTTTCAGTGTGTGCTCAGTGCTTCCTGGTGTATCCCGAGGTGTCCTGGCTGAGAGAATTTCCCAGGGAAGGTGGGGAAACTCTTTGGAGATAAAGTGACAAAACCCAATGTTTTCAAGCCTGTCTGAAGGCTCTTTGCCTGGTGCAAAGCATTTGCTGTCACAGGTCCTGGATTCCTTCATAAATGCCTGTTAAAATAAAGACAAATGATTTCCTTAAGCAATTCTAGGTAGCTTGGAGGTTAAAGACTGTGCTTTGGCATTTCTCACCTTGCCTCATCCCTGCTGTCTGCCAAGGTGGGATTTGGCTTTACAGAGTTCGTTGGGGGCAAAATCCAAAGCAAGAGAAAGCAGCCAACACCATATTGTGTTGAAATCTGGATTGATTAATCCCAGAATGGTTGGGGTTGGAAAGGCTCATCCAGTTCCAGCTCCTGCCATGGGCAGGGGCACCTTCCACTAGCACAGGTTGCTCCGAGCCCTGTCCAACCTGGCCTGGAACACTCCCGTATTTAAAATATGTGGGTTTGGCTCTAAAAAGACTCAAAGTAGAAGGAAATCTGAGCAGGTTGTAAATAAACAATGAGGTCTAGTATCAGAATTAATTACTCTCTCTTCCTTGATGCAGTGCAGGGGAAATAAACAGATGTGCTGAAGGCTTTGAAAAGAAGGTTTTGGTTTTAAGTGGTGTTTCATGTGAAGATCTGCATGAGAGTTCTTGGGGTTTAAAAGCAAAACAGAAAAGCTGAAGCAGTTTAAAGGTGGAACAGTCCTGTGTCTGCCTCCTGCCCCTCAGTTTGGAGAGGTTCAACCAGGAACAGCTTCTGGGCAAATCCTTTAAGTTATGAGCATTTTCTGGATCTGAACCATCAATTAGTATTTTTGCTGATTTCTGTGCTCCTCAGAGTTGGCTGTGGTTCAGGTGTGATTTGGTTTCACCTGTGTGAGGGTTTAAGCCTGTGATTCAGGACAGTGATCACTGTGTAAGGGAAATGAGGTTAGGCTGAAAACCTACTCTTTGGAGCAGTGGAGGTGGAGTTATTCCTTGTTGGATCTATGGAGTTTGTCCAAGCAGCAGCAGCCTGTACACCTTTAATTGACTGCAGGGATTATGTATTCCCCCTAAAATTCCTCATTTCAAACCTTTTTCCATGAATATTCAGTGGAAACTGACAGGTCAGAGAATCGTTAAGATTGGAAAAGATAAGATCAACAAGTCACTAGTGCCTGAGCTTTCCCCCACCCCCAGCAGTCCTGGTGTGTGTTTAACCCTGTCTGAAAGCAGTTTGCTGCAGATCCAGCTGGGAGAGCTCTGGGAGTCCTGCCTGGAAGCATCCCAGACTGCTGACTCTGCACGGGAGGATGCTCAAACTGTTGTTTTAGGTCCCCAGAGCTGCTGAGAGGGAATTGTGCTGCTGCAGAGAACTCAGCTTAAACTCTGTGTGAAACTTTGTTGTAACTGACTGTATTTCCTATCAGTTTATTCCCATGGCCCACTGGAAATTCATGTAAGGAGTGATGAGAACTTTGAACTCCTTCAACAGGAGGAGCCAAAGGGTTTCCTGTAAGGAACTGCACCACTGCAGAGTTTTTGGGAGCACTTTCCTGCCTCCTCTGTTCCCAGCAGCAGCTCATTGCTTCCAGCTGAGCTGTCAGCCAGGCTGTGAGTCCTGAGCTGTGCAGCAGAGCTGCTGCAGGGCAGGATATTCCCCAGGTGTGGAGCTGAGTCCAGGGATCTGTGCCCTCTGTAAAGCACTTTATTCCCCACGGGAGTCCAGGATTCCCTCAGCTGCCTCATCCATGGTACATTAAACAGAGAGACAAAGCATTTGGGGCTTTCCACTTGAACTACTTTGATATTTCCAGAGGGAAGTTTTATATTGGTACATTTTAAGCACTTCAAGCTGTTTAGAATAACCATGGACTTGTTAAGGTTGGAAATACCTCCAAGATTGTTGAGTCCTAACTATTGACTGAAGATGTTAGGAGCTTGATATCTGAGCATTATGCACTCATGTTGGTTTGCAGCTGCACAGTCTTGGTGGTAGAACTGGAGCTCCTGTTTCTGAACTAGGGGGTGGAAGTGATTCTGTACCTTGATGAGGTCTCAGATACTGTATTTGCATAATTTGGGCACGGTGAATAGTGTTTCTTGATCACTAAATTATTGCTTTTTTACTTCTAAGTCATAAAACTGCTTTGGAGTGAAGGTTAGAATCCAAATAGTGCAGGAAACAAAAATGTTGCCTTTTTTTTCTTTAAAATATGCAGAATGTGAAAGTGGAAACGATTCTTTGTTAAAAAGGGATTTATTTATATTTGTTGAACTTGTCCTTCAGGTGGTGAGACTCATCAGATCTTATCCTTGCTTCATTTAACTCGTAGATCACAGATTTTCCAGTTCCTGATCAGCCTCTCTGCTCCATTTATCCCTCTGGGATGGAGCAAATAAGTCTCTGTGCCATCGCAGGAAACCTCCACTTGACTCTTTTCCTTCCACCCTTCACACTAGCCATTTATGAGTTGTGTAATACTCCAGACTGCATTAAAAGCCAGTTTTTCATTTTTATACTCCAATCCCTTCAAATCTTGCCTTAAATATCCCTTTTCCTCTCCTGCTTTGTCTTCAGTCCTTGTGGCTTGAGGCCTAGTGTTAATCCATGACTATTGTAGCAGAGGCCTCAGATTAATCTTTTTGGGATTGGCTTTTCCAACCCCTTAGAGTCATTAAGGTTGGAAAAGACTTTGAGGATCATCCAGTCCAACCTTAGCTGGGAGAAAAGTGCTCTCAGTTGTCTCCTCTGCAGCACCAGTGATTGCTGAGATGTTTCATGTTTGATTAAAGTCAACAGAAGGGGAAAATCTGATCAGAAGAAAGTTAATTTGCAATGGTCTCTTCCCATAACACTTGGTGTATTTAGGACTTATTTCCCCTACTTCCTTAAGCTTCCCCAGTGCTAGCTGTTGTAGCAGCCCCTTGTGATTTATCCCCAGCTGTGCCTTTGGGAAGGTGATCCTGGACACAGGTTGGGATTGACTGAAGGCAGTTTGCCCACTCTGGCCCAGCTCAGCCTGCTCTGCTCTTGGCTCAGCACCATCTGGGGCACAGCACGTGGCAGCAGCATTAATCAAACCCCTGTGCCCTGAATTTACATCCTGCCTGGTGACGTGTGTAAGCCTGAGACATCCAGGCTGTGTCCCAGCCAAACCCTGTTTGTGTGGATTTGGACAAAAGGATTATGAACAGGAGCCTGGTTCAGTGTCAGACAAGCTAAAACTAGTTGTGCATGGGTTAAATTACAATACAGTGATTACAAAGGTTTGAAAGGCCTAATTTTCCAGTGTGTTGTGTCCATGAAATACATCTCAGTGCAGCAATGTGGGGCCCTTGGTCAGCTGTGATTGACCATTTATAGGTAGGAAGGTGGATTGGGAGCTGGGGGGAAGTGCCCTTGTTATACTCTCTGCATTAAAAGCACAAGATCTGATTTACTGTTCTCAATAATCCTGTTTCAGAATGCCAATGTGAGCAGTCTCAGCTGCACAGAAATCATTTTAAACAGCTGAGTTATTACCTGAGTCTTTTTATTTGTGCTTAATTTTCCTGCCTGAAGCAAACCCCCAAAGCAGGCACTTGGCTGCTCAGCTGCCTTGCAAACCAGGTCTGCTGAGCTGTTTGGTTTTGAAGTGCCATAGTAATTCCATTTAGTAATTCCATTTATTTCCCTGGAAACTGACTCTCTTTTCCCTCCTCCTGCTCCTTCCTGAACAGGAAACCTCCATTTTAGAGGAGTACAACATTAACTGGACTCAGAAGTTGGGAGCTGGGATCAGTGGTCCTGTGAGGTAAGGGAACACACCTCTGTGGGTTTGTGTGTGACCTGAGGAGAAGTGAGGGAGGATTTCAGGTGTGCTGCATGGAAAAGCCTTTCTGAGCACTAAATATCTGCTCCATGTGAGTTGTCCAAGCAAGGGTTGACTTCGATGGGCAATGGGTGAAGTCAAAACTGGTGGAGTAAAGTTTCCCCTCAATGCTGTATTCCTGAAGGAAAATGGAAACAGGAGTCAGTTGTGGAGCAGTGACAGCAGAAATGTCACCTGGGACACCTTTGTCCTTTGCCATCACTGCAGTGCAAAGGTCACTGCTCCTCTGTGCCATCAGCACAGCTATTTTTACCAGCTATTTTTTCACCTCATCATGTGAGCCCCAACCAGGAGCTCTTCCATGAGCTTCCAGCCCTTCTCCTCATGGATTTCTAACCCCTGCAGGAACTGGATGCTTGCTGGAAAGCCAGACATATATGTTGCCTTTTCAGCAAGGCTTTTCCCCTTAGGGAATTTGAATTTGTGGTGGAAAACAGCTCTTTCTGGGGCCTTGGCAGGGCCATTGTCTTTCACCACCATCTATCATCCTGCCCAGGAGATTGATTTCTCCTCATCTGTTCTGTGTTGCCTCTGATCTTCATTAAAACATCCCTTTGTTCTTCGTTCCTGTAGCTGCTGGTTAAAATCTGGTTAACCCTTCAAGGGTTAATGTTAAATGAGGACGAGAGAGAAAAAAAAATCCTGTGTGGGGAGAAAAAAATCCTGTGTGACACAGTTGATGGCCTGGCCAAAATGAGGATTTCCATCCAGAAACACTTTATTTATTGCAAATTCTTGATTTACAAGTCATTATTTATTGATTTTAACACTTCATTTATTGCAACTTCAGTTTATTCAAACCACAGCCTCCCCTGGGCTGTTCAGGCTGCCACGGTGTGCGTTGGGTTTCCATCCCAAATGCCTCCTGAGGGTGAATGCAGAGTGTGCTCTGCTGCTCTGCAGTTACCCCATTGCCCTGAAATGCCTCTTTATGCCTTGCTGGAAGTGTAATTTGGTGTGAGGGGTTTCCACAGACCAGATTTGGTTGCTGTGGGAGGCTGAAAACTGCAGCTGGGCCGTGGTGACAGGTGCCCTGTCCATCCCACATCGTGGGAGCAAAACTCAGAGCTACAGATCAGTTGCTTCAAGTGTGTCTTTTAACAGTCTTTGCTGACTGAATGATTTTTGTTGCTGTAACACCAGAGTCTGCATGAAAAAATCCTCTCAAGAACGTTTTGCACTGAAAATCCTCCTCGATCGTCCAAAAGCCAGAAATGAGGTATAGTTCCTGTTTCTACTCTCTGACACAACAAAGTCTTGAATTGTTGAAATGCTCTTAAGAATTAGAACACCAAATCCATGTGTTGTGCAGCTCCTGCTGTACAGGAATCCTTGGGGTTGATCCTCAGGCCTTGCTGAGCTCAGTTCCTGTGGGGTGAGGTGGAACAGAGGGTCTGACTCTGAGCTGGCTGTGGGTCTTGCTGTGTAGGTGCAATTTATTGAGCTGTTCTTCTCCCCAAGTCACATGTGATGTAACATGACCAGTTTAGGATGAATTTTGTTGCCACACATCTCACTCTTGGATGTCACTGCTCTAAGAGTTGCCAAGAATGCTTCAAGTTGCACTTGGTGTGGGTTTCTCTGTGTGCCAGAAGCTAAATCAGCTGCTGGTACTGGTTGTGGCTTCCTGAGGCTGATGAAAGCATGTGGAGGTGCCAAACTGTCAGTCTGCTGGAATGATGGGCAGCTCCTTCAGGCTGTCAGGAGTTTCAAGAAGGATTTGTTGTCCTCAGGGTTTAGGCAACTTCCATGTTGTGTTACTGGGCAAATTCTCCTTTACAGTTCCCAGGGAAAAATAATGTGTGGACAACAAAGCATCAAGTCTTGGCTGAATTGAGAAGTTCAGGTAGCTTTATACTGGGGAAAACTCCTTAGGTACCTTTTTCAAAGATTCACAATGGGATGAGGTTTCACACAGTCACTGAGCCATGAAAGAAGCCAAATTGTGGAATTTTAGGTTTTATTCATCACTTTTCCATTTCAGTTTTATCTACTGTTATTTCAAGCTAGTTTTATCTTTACATTTGTTTTAAAAAAAAACCCAAATTGGCTCTTTTTCTGGCACTTTGTGCATGATTCTGTGGTCTGTAACAGAATTGTTTGACAATATATGATCTTTTTACCTTAGTACAATCACTGTGTGTTGGTTGCTTGTATCAACACTTGCAGGCAGCTTCATTTTGGGCTCATTTTGGGGTGGGTGTGAGTGCAGTGAGCACAGCAGGCTGGAGGGGCAGAGGGGGGACCTCAGGTGCTGTCCCTGTGTGCAGTAACATCTCTCCCTTCTCTTCAAGGTGCGTCTGCACATGATGTGTGCCACACATCCGAATATTGTGCAGATTATTGAAGTTTATGCTAACAGTGTGCAGTTCCCACACGAGTCCAGCCCAAGGTAAGGTTGCATAGGGTGGTTCATGCCCACAGCTTTCCATGGTTAGCCCAAGGTATAGTGGAGTTTGCTTTGTTTGGTTGTATTCACAGTGTGACCAAAATTTGTAGGAGGTCCCAGAGATGCTGTTTATCCTCCAGACCAAGCCACACTTGCTTTTCACCCCTGGCAATGCCCAGACTTTTGTATATTTGAATTCATGTGTGTCCTTCACTGCCTGTTTTGAATGCATCTCCATTTCTTAGGCTGTTGATGGGTTCAGCCTGTGATACCTGCATTGTGTGAGAGAAGGAATCAGATTCAGCCCTGTAAACTTGCTTAAAATGAACACAGCAAAACACGAAGCAGACTTATTTTTCAGGCATTAATATCACTTGGGATCAAACTGCTGTGTTCTAATTGGGTATTAGCTGAGAAAAGCATCAGAGCTGAGACCTGTCTTAGTCTCTGAGGGATCTGGTTTTGCTGTGTGGTGACACCTACCACGAGTTTGCCATAAACTAAAGCAGGAGTTAGTTGAGGAGCTCAGTCCTGATCTCCACACATCCTATCTGTAGTCCTTCATAATTATGGCAGTAAGTTTCTAGATGAAAATTGTGGGGTTCAGTAGGGTTTCCAGACTCAAAAGCATTAAAGATCATTCCTCAACCTTCTGCTCTAAGCCACCCTGAGCAGGTGAGTGCAGGCAGGGTGGGTGCTGCTTTGGACCAGCCCCTGGAAACTGTTTCCCCTGTTTCATGCAAGATTCTACCTGCTGTGTTACTCTTTGAGGGCAGAAGTATCCACTGATGTGTCTACATGACTTCCAGGTCCAACCTGGGTGCAGCTCAGGACATACCCATGTAGACATGTCCATGGTGTTGGGTGTGGGACCCATCATAAGGAGCAAACTGATTCCTGGCTGACAATCAGTGAGATTGGGAGCCAGAAAACCCTTCAGTTTCTATGCTTAAAAGCAAAACTAAAGCACCAGAATAGCTCTGACCACTGTAGGAGCAGCAAGTGTGTGTCTCTCTCTCGGAGCAACAAGTGTGTGTGTCTCTCTTGGCCTGCAATGTGAACTGTGCATTATTAGCTTAGCACTTCTGTTCTCTTTTGCTGATTTTTAATGTAACAAACTGAAATGCTTTTGAACAGGGCTCGGCTCCTAATTGTAATGGAGATGATGGAAGGGGGAGAGCTCTTTCACAGAATCAGCCAGCACCGGCACTTTACTGAGAAGCAAGCAAGCCAAGTAACAAAGCAGGCAAGTCACCCCCTGTATAAGCAAATCCACGAGTGAGAATGGCTAAAGTATGGACAATTTCTCAGGGAGGGGAGGTGGGAAAAAAGGAATCAATAAAAGAATCCTCCGTTCTGAGCCGATGATCATTGCCTGCTTTGTTATAGCCTGACAATGCCACAGTCTGGGTAGGAGTAAAGGGTGTGGAGGTGTGGGGTAGTTCTCTGCTGTCCTCAGCAGTGGGTTTTTAACCTGGTCTGCAGAACACTTCAGAGAGAGTTTTTTCTTCCTCGCTGTTCTGGAAGTGTTGCCTCCAGCAGCTCATGGGATCTCATGGGCCCACGTGGCTCCAGAGCTCCTGTGGGAGAGTCACTCTGGGCCAGGACACACACTTGGCATTTCTCTCCTCTTGTGTCCTGGGCCAGTGGCTTCCAAGCTGGTTTCTGTACCTGGTTTTATGGAATCCTCCCTATCCTGGAAGATAAGGAGGAATGTGCCACTCTAGTGTATGTGTTCTGTGCTGTTTGTTCTGATGTCATTTTTCCTTCACCGTTTCTGTGCACAGCTCACTCTTGAGTGCTGAATTTTGTAGACTCCATGGTATTTTCTGCTAGAGGTTTGGGTGTCCATCAGGCTCTTTGTTGCTTGGTGTGACTGAGCAGAAGAATCTCCATGAGAATCAAGGCTGGGGACATAATGGCAAAAAAGCATTTCATTTTACTTTTCTTGTGCTTTGGCTTGTTTGTAATGAAATGCTAATTGTGCTGTTACCTGAAAGTACAGAATTATTCCTGACAGTTTGTTTCCATGTCCTTTGGGTTGTTTGATTTTCACAGTGTCCAGGACTAACATGTGGGGAAAATCTTGTCTAAGAATTGGAGTTGAATTCTGTGTGTTCACTTGAGTTATTCATGTCCCATGTAGCTCTTTAATGTTTATAGAGATGAAGTTTGAAATGCAAAAATCTTATTCTTTCATCATTACCTTAATTCCTTGTACCCAGTAACAGTTAATACTTGTCACAGATCTACCTGATTTTCTCTGGGAATGTGTTTGTTTCTGAGCTAAACTAACACTGAAGTTCTCTTGTGACAGTAATTTCCAGTTTCCTGAGGGCTCAACCCTTCCCTGAGGGGGTTGGGTTTGGGTAGGATCCTACAGAATTCCATAGGAATACTTCCAGAAAAGGTTCAGGTGGCTTTGCCTCAGTAATGCTGGTTAAATATTTATGCCTGGGTTTTCTTTGAATGAATTGCACCGGGAAATGTGCAGCCCCTGGAGCTTCCATGCCTGGGTTACAGGTCCCCAGGCACAGCAGGGTGAGAAGCTGCCTTTGAAGGAAGCAGGGAATGCATTTCTGTGTGGTATCCCACGAAAGGAGTGAAGTGCAGGCAGTGCCATCAAGAACTAAAGCACGAAACTGCCTGAGTGCTGAACCTGAAGTCACTAACAAGTGTAGTAAAGTGCTCACTGAAATACTGAACAAGAACTGGCTGCTGAGTGCCAAGCAGGGTGTGATGCTGGGCAGTGACCTTGGAGGTTGGCACAGCCAGGAAAAGGACACTGTCATGATCTGGTTCACTTCAGGGGTGTTAATGCCTTGAGTTAGCCAAACTGAGGTGGTTGGGAAGCCCAGTCCAACTTGGCTTTTGTTTTCTGTTTGCTCTGAGTGAAACACAAGCTGAGCAGCCTCAGGGTTTCATTTCCCAGTCATCACTGCCCTCTTGCACAGTGTGCTCAGGCTTGTCCTAGCTTGGAACTGCCCCCAAGTGGAGTGGAAGTGTTTGGGGTCTGAGCTGTGTTGGCAGTGTCCTTTCTAGAGCGAAAATAGCTGTCCAGGCTGAAGGAGTTCTGTGATTGTAGTTGATTTATTGTGCCCTTTTTCAGATAGCTTTGGCTCTGCAGCATTGCCACTCACTAAACATTGCACACAGAGACCTCAAGCCTGAGAATCTCCTCTTCAAGGACAACTCTCTGGTAAGATGAAGATTAGTAACTCTTTTGCTGCTGAGTCTTGTAAATTGGCTCAGTGGTGATTTTCAGAACAGTTGTAAAATGACATTAATGTTTTGGTGATGAATCCATCACCTTTTTGGCTTTGTGCTTTTCCATCCTCTGACCTGCCTGGAAGACAGTCTGTCCATGCTGCTGCTGTTAAATATGAGTCAGGTTCTCCACCTGAACACACAATCTAGCTTTGCTGAGGAGAAAACCCACTCTGCCACATCATCAGAATGTTCTAACATGCTCTGATATATCCAAACACTTCTTGTTTCTTTCTTCTGCTCACAACCACCCTGGGTACACAGTGACCCTTCTACACCATGCTTGGTGCTTTCCAAACCTCAGAGAGGGGCTGTTCCTGACCCAGAGCACCCTGGAAACAACAGTGCTTGTTTCAAACATCAGTTTATGGCCTTTTAACTGCTTAGTGGAGTGTAAAGGTCTAAACACACAAGAGGAGTATGTGTGGCAAAGGTGAGATGAGTACAGGGCAAGAATTCTGTATTAGAACAGCTGATGTCATGAGATTTGTGTAATGAAGCATCTTCTCCTCTGCTCTAGGATGCACCTGTTAAATTGTGTGACTTTGGGTTTGCCAAAGTAGACCAAGGTGACTTGATGACACCACAGTTCACTCCGTACTACGTAGCACCTCAGGTAACAAACTGGCACAGTTCTAGGCTAAAGGGGAATAATTTTTTAGCCTCAGCATTTGAAAAGCCTTTGCTGTCCTGTTAAGGCTGCAGGAATCTGGAGTAACTGGTCTGTGGGCATCTTTGGAGCTGAAGTGCCACAGTGGTTAGAGCAGGGGATTGGGAGGCAAATTTCCCTGACTCTGTTTTTACCACTGGTTTTGACAATTGCTCTTTAACTGCCTGAAAGCACTTGGTTTGGAGAATTCCCTGCTTCACCATCCTTCTTCCAGCTCAGGCTCACTCAGGATCTCATCAAAAAGGACAGTGCTGGAACACAAAGGCTCTGAAAAGGCAGTGGCTGAAAAAGGGCAGTGCCAGAGTGTTGGTTACCTGGGCCCCTTGGCTTGGCCCCTTGTCATTAAGGCATCATCTGTAATTACAGACAGGCTGCTCTCTGTAGTGCTGCTTCCCCCACTCTCCTCTGTCCTTTGTGTTGGAGTCCTGAAGAAAATGAAGAGAAAACTGCAGATAGACTTATAATTGCAGTGCTGAACACGTCAGCAGCTTTAATGACTGGGGAGAGCAGTTCAGGGACAGACCATGCAACTGCCCTGAAATGCCTCCTCAGCTGGTGATGCTGGTGCCACTTGTAGCCCAAATCCACAGATCTGATCAGCAGGGGGTAAATTTAATGTGATTTTTCCTGGGAGAGGCAAAAAGTGACATCTTTGGAGTTATGGTTCAGCAAACACACTTTAGGTTCTAGTTCCAAGCGTGGAAGTGTTTGAGGTTTTGAACAAGAGGTGTGAGCAGCTTTAATGCATGCAAAACTGGAGATTCCTTTCAAAATGGCTAAATATTTTAGCTGAAATTTTCACTGTACAGGAAGTTCTAGTCTGTCTTAGAACAGTTTGAATTTGACAGTCTTCAGTAGCTGGAATAAGTTTACTGAGTGGAATCTTTGTGCCTGTAGATGTATTTTGCCTTATTTTTTCCTCCTCTCATGGCAACAGGTATTGGAGGCACAAAGAAGACACCAGAAAGAGAAGTCTGGCATTATCCCCACCTCTCCAACACCTTACACTTATAACAAGGTAAGCTGTGAAACAGCAGCTTAAAGCACAGAGTCTTCCCTCTGCTCCCCAGTACCTGCTGGACAAGGCTTCAGGCAGTTTATCACCCAAGGCAGTAAACTTTACTGTCCTGAAATTGCACACTCAGGGCCAGCAGCAGTGAAACTGTTCTGATCTGTGGCAGGAACACACCTAACCAGCCAAATATCTCCACGGAGGAAAAGCAGATCTAGAGGAGGGAAATGTCATGTTGGTGTCATTTCGTGTGTTTTGAGCTGCAGGAAGGAGTAACCTGGGGCTGTGTTTCTCAGTAGTGGGATCCTTTGGCTTTTCTGGAAGGAGTGAGCAGGTGTGCAGTGGGATTTGTGTTTGAATGTCTTGGCTTCAGACCAGGTTTCACCCAGCTGAACTGGCAATGAGGAGACAATTATCTCTGCAGACTCTGTCTTAGTTGGGAAGTGACACACTAAAGACTCTGCTGCCTCTGAGCTCTGTCTGGCAGAGCAAATAATGAACAGTCCAGGCCTAATTAATGATCCTGTAATTAAAGCAAAAATCCACAAACACTGTTAGGCAGCACTAAATATTAACAAGGCTTTGGGCAGAGGGGAATGGTTCTGCTGGAGTGTAACCACGTGGGAAGGGTGTTCACCTGCACAAAAGGCTGTTCAAAGGGAAACTCCTTCCTGCTGCAGGAGTTTCTGGGTGTGCAGGGCAGTGCTCAGGCTGCTCTGGTGGAACCTGGTCTGTACTTGGGATCTCCTGCCCAACGAGCAGTAGTTTGTTGTGTAGCCATGGGTAGTAACTGCTGCTGGAGTCTTGGCAGAGCTGTGACAGAAAGTGTCCTGAAAGGTTATGTTCCATTTGGGGCATTCCAGAGCATTTTTCCATGTTAGCACCACTGGCTCAGCAGTTCTCTGAGTGTCCATTTTAGTTAGGTTAGCTGATTCAGGACCCCAGTGCTAAGAATCTACACTCACCTACTTCAGGGATGGTCATTTGACCCACCACGTGCTCCAACAGACAGTTTGATGTGTAGTGCTAGGATTTAATAGCCTCCTACAGAGAGCTGAAGCAGAGCTGGATTAGTCTGCATGGGTGTCCTGACCATGAATCTGCCTCCTCAGGGTTATGAGTACCTCCTCTCCATCCTGGAGAACCAGACTGAGGGCTGAAGACAGACACTTCTGTCTGAGAGCTCCTTACAAGGAGCCAGTAGTGCTTTCAGTAGAGGTTTTTCTGTCCTCTCTCATCCCTTAGTCTCTGGGACTTTGTTTCCGTGTTCCGTTTAATGATTGGTGTGTCCTTCTGAGCTGTTTCATCCGTGGTGGCACTGACTGCACAGGCTGCAGGCAGAAGTGGCCTCATCCTCACCTTGCCAAGTGTGACTCACTGCTCAGGCAGCATCTGGCACACGCCTGGTGCCCCAAAATAGCCTCTGCTGGCTCCCAGGTGCACTGTCCTTCCATGGCAATGCAGTGCCTGGGATCCCCTTCATGCCCAGCAGCACTAGCCCAGAGATCTAAACTGGAGGAGAAGACACATGTTTGATCCCTGACTACTTTTATTGTGTGTGTTCTGGATCAAATATGAGTGTGTATTGAGAATTGTATGTGAGAATTGAGGTACCTAAACATAAATTTAGTTTTCTAGAGCCACCTGAAATGGGCTTAAACAACTTCCTTCAGCAAAACATCTTAGGGAATCACACAGGACTTTTACTGCTGCAAACTGTGCCCCAAAGTGGTCCTTTGGTTCTGGTGTCCCCAAGACAAGAAGGACATGGAACTGCTGGAGCAAGTCCAAAGGAGGCCACAAAGCTGATCAGAGGATTGGAGCATCTCCCCTATGAGAAAGTTGGGGCTGTTCAGCCTGGGGAAGAGAAGGTTGTGTGGAGACCTCCAAGCACCTTCCAGGAGCTGAAGGGGCTCCAGGGAAGCTGCAGAGGGATCTGTGTTAGGAGCTGCAGGGACAGGACAAGGAGTAATGGGGAGAAATTGTAGGGGGGGAAATTTAGATTAGATCTTAGTCAGAAGTTTTCCCTGTTCTGGTGGTGAGACACTGTCCCAGGTTGCCCAGGGAGGCTGTGGCTGCCCCAACCCTGGCAGTGTTCACAGCCAGGTTGGATGAGCCTTGAGCAACCTGCTCTGGTGGGAGGTGTCCCTGCCCAGGGCAGGGGTTGGGGCTGGGTGATCTCTAAGCTCCATTCTAATCCCTTCCCATTCCATGATCCTTTTGTTGCTTGCAGAGCTGTGACCTGTGGTCCCTGGGTGTCATCATTTATGTGATGCTGTGTGGGTATCCTCCCTTCTACTCCAAACACCACAGCAGGACGATTCCAAAGGACATGAGGAAAAAGATCATGACGGGCAGTTTTGAATTCCCGGAGGAAGAATGGAGCCAAATCTCCGAAATGGCCAAAGACATCGTGCGGAAGTGAGTCGGGAGGACAGGGCAGGGAGGTTGGGCTCTGTCAGAGGTGTCAGACTGTGAGATGAGGTTTTGTGCTGCTGTTCCAGGCGAAATGCTAATGGGAGCTGTTTTCCATGCAGTGCACATCCCTCAGCTGTGCAGGTTTCAAAGGCATGGTCTGTTTGGAAGCAAGAGCATGGCACTGAGCAGGGCTTGACCTCTCTTATTCTTCAGTGATGCTGAGGGACTTAACTGCCTGTGCCTCAGCAGAGGAACTGGAAGAATAAAAGCAACATAAATAGAAAGAAAATCCATTGCTGAAGTAATTTTATAGTGTCAGTGGCTCCTCAGACATGCTGTAAAATCTCCAAGGACTTACTGCTGTTTGGAGAGGCTGCAGGAGAGCTCACAGCCTCCCACCAAATAAACTGCAGGGAAACTCTGGTTTAAACCAAGGTCAGCTCTCTATTCTCACACAGAAGCTCCACAGGCAAAAAGGTTCCATTGTCTTTTAAAATGACAGTGCAACTCAGTTGGATTCAGTTCATTTAATTCTCCCACTAATGTTATCAGACTCCCACTCCTGCTTGGCTTTTCCAGACAGTGAGTCTGTGTTAGTGGTGCAGGAATAAATTCAGAGTGAGCATAATTCTGGCTAAGTTTGCCCTGTATGGATGTAGGATGCTCCTCCTCTGGAGTCTTCTGGAGGTCACACTTGACATTCAGGCAGCTGCTTCCTCTCAAGCATGTCAAGCTGACTGCTGACCTCAAGCTTTATGAGCTGGAGGGCTTGATAACAGGTTAGGGCTGGGAAAATCTATGGAAAAGGAATGCATGTCTCATATCACAGCTGAGCTTAATGAGCTGGCTGGCAGCATGGCCTTGAAGTGAGATGTCTGAGCTTCTCCCTGGTCCTGCTGACATTTTGGAAGAGTCATTTCCACTTTCTTGGTACATTAAACAATTCTGCCTTGCAGCCAGGAAGCTGATTTTTTTTTTGTCTGGGAAACTGTGACAACCTCATCAAGTTGTTCTGGTCCTAACTCAGACTCTCAGATCACTTGTCAGCACTCTGGGAAATGTTAGTTTTGTTAAGCAGCTGTGATTGCCATGAGAACTTGAGTCTAGCTGCAAAGTCTCTTTCCAGGCTTTCATTCTAGTAAAATGTAATTCCATGGAGTTTGCAGCTATCTCAGAATGAAATGCCTTCTGATTTTAAGGAGCTGCAGCCTGCCAAAGTGTCTGTTACCTGAGGCTTTCCCAGGGGGAGGAAAGCTAAGGAGTTGAATGGTGAAAGCAGTTAATTCAGCAGAGTTTCCATGCCCAGAGTCCTTGGAGTGAGCGTATGCCTGCTTGATGCAAGCAACATGTCCATTTATTGTTGTTTTTCACAGATCCTTATAGTCCCTTTGCTTAGCATATTCCCTGCTGATTGGCTTGTTCTAAACATTAGGTGTGTACCAACTGGTCAACCTAAGGCACAGCAACTTGTTTTACCCCAGCAACATCCCAACTCGGGGTCTGGTGAGCCAGCACGCAGCGCTTTCTGTTCAGGGGTCCCATCTCCACACCTACTCCTCCCAAGACCCTCGGGCAACAA